ATTTATGTTTCATAATTTTTTTCTAATAAATATAAGGATTTTAAATTACCAAGGGTTTTTATTATTTTTTTATATTAATCTTTAGTTTCATAATATTTACAAAAAGGACTAGAAATATGTAAAGTTCCAGTTCCAGTTTTGCGGTGGCCCGGACATAAACCCTGTAGAAAATGTTTGGAAATTTCTGTAAAGGGAACTGGCTAAAGAGAACATCACCACATAAGTAATATTAATAGTAATAATTATTAATAATTTTTTTTACATATTTCTAGCTCTTTTTGTTAACTGATCAACAAAAAAATTGATTTAATGTTAAAACTTAAGGTAAGTGTAATAATTTATATATATATATATATATATACATATACATATACATATACAGGGTATCTCAAAAGTTAAGGACAGCAGAAAAGGGGACTTATACAGGGTATCTCAAAAGTTAAGGACAGCAGAAAAGAGGTGGATAGAGGATGGGATTCTAAGTCGAATGGTCTTTGCCGTTTTTCAATCGACTTAAAATTCCATCCTCTATCCATCCCTTTTCTGCTGTCCTTGACTTTTGAGATACCCCGTATATATATATATATATATATCGATATTTTTCCATCCCTTATTTCAGGCCTACTATTAATGCTTCTTTGCATTATGATAATGCTAACAGATCATTAATTAATGTATATTAGGTGATTGGGATAATGTTCTTTAATTGTTAATTGATAAAAATTTATTAATTGGTTGATGTTTACTGGGCATAGAATTAATGTACTAGGACATTAATCCATGTCAATGGTCATTAATATCAGTACTTTTATTTGAGATCTTCCTGATTAAAATCAATGTCCGCCAAGCATTAATAATACGTCCTTGTACATTGAGTAATACTTTAAAAGCATTGTGGTAATGATTTTGAGCATCGGAGCAAAATTAATGTAAAAAATCATTGCCTTAATGTTTTTTTTTATTAATATTACGTACGTTTTTCGTTGTGTGCAGTAATAATAAATTGGCCATCATGTGGGACCGCAGAGCCCAAAGTTATTAAAAAAAAATAATTTCTGCCAAAATTGAAAAGTGCATTGCACGAATTCTTGCTGTTGGAAGTAAGCAAAATAATCATATCGTTGAGTGAAGAAATAATTCTTTACTCAACAAAAATACATTTCAAATATTCACAAAATACAGAATAAAATAATATTATCTAGAAAGAAATTGAAACAAACAAAGGAAATGTTGTCAAAACAAATTGAAGAAGACCTAGTTAAATGTGTTGATCAGGTTTGCCAAGTTAACATAAAATCTTGGACAAATTTTATAAAGGAGTGTGTTTCAGATTATTCCAGACTTTTCACAAGGATCAAATTCTGATTACATTAAATTAAAAAATAAAATATGTGACCTTGAAAATGAAAATATTGACTTAAAAAAAGAAAATTAACGGTTGAAAAATTTAGTTCAATGTTATAAAGGTACTGCATTATTTTATTATAACTGCATTGTATATTACATAAACATTTTTATTTAATATATATACTTAGTGAAAATTGAATATGTATAAGCCCTAACCACTATAAGTTCAGCCTTTTTAATTCTTCTCATTCCAATAGGATCATTTTTTTTTTTAATTAATAAGTAACACCTTTTTTTAATTTCTTCGATTTTGCGCTTGTTAATGTGTTTTATTATCACGCCAAGCGGGCAACTTTAAAAGCAAAGTTGTTTAAATTTGTTCATATTTTGGTATGCTGAACCCCTAGGGAGTCTTAGCATTGACATAAAACTATTTGACCCTGCGAAGCCTAGGGACCCTGCTAGGGGCTTTTACATTTCTGTCAAAACGTTGTGCATGGTATAATAATAATAATAATAATAATAATAATAATAGGTAATTGTATGCTCTTTTTCGTTCTGCACTCAAATTAAAAATTCCAATTTGTTAAAAATAAAAAATTTTGTTTTAAAAAATTAAATTTGTAATTTTTTTAATTTCGGCCAGTTTTGTTTTTTTTTAATTGCTTAAAAATTGTATAGATGAGGCATACAAAATTTTGTAATGGGATGAGCACTCGTTTAAATGCCCTCCTCAAACCTAGTGGCGCGCCGCGGCGTTAGGTCCAAGCGCGAGATACACTGTTTAGTCGATCGCGCTTTTGAAAAACTTGTTAAATAAAATTTAATTATTGTGCACAACTACATCGATATTGCTTAACTTGATTTTATTGTCCTTTTTAACATTTTTTTACTGAAACAAAAAATATAGGCATTTAAACATGCAGCATTGCATTACAATTAGTACCAAATTTAGTAGGTACTTACGAACCCACAAATTTTCTTAACATTGTGGTTATATATAATTATGTTGACAATGCTTTTTATAATGATTTAAAATTGATTATTTGTAAATAATAATAAACCAATTTTTAAAAATAAGAAATATAAATATAAATAAGTTTTGGAGCAACTTAAATAAAAATTTAATGATCCTTCTTCACCAGGGCCAATATTGCTCCAAAATCGTGGAACAGGCTTGCAAAAGAGTTTGGAACATCCAGAAGGCAGGCAAAAAATTCAAAAGAGTTGGTGAAAAAATACGGCCTAATGTCGACGCACAATCCTCGTGAAGGACGAAAGATGGAGCCTAAAACTGAGACACTGGTAAACGACTTTTATCTTAGAGAAGATAACAGCCGGGTAATGCCTGGTAAAAAAGATTTTGTATCCATTAAAAACGGACGATGGAAAAAGGGAACATTTGCAAAAACAATTAATTCTTTGTAATGTAAAAGAACTTTATGAAACTTTTAAACAGGAATATTCATATGTGAAGGTGGGAATTACAAAGTTTTTTACCTTTCGGCCTTAGACGCTGGTGCTTCAGGAACACATCTAGTGTCTGTGTGCACATATCACCATAATGTGAAGCTTATGTTGATTGGAGTAGACATTGCTTGTCTTACGGCGTGCCTACAAACATGATGTGTACCAATGAAAGTTGCAAATTTTGCCCTGGTATAAGAATAATTCAAGATCATTTAAGAATGGTTTTTGATCAAATTTAAATAAAAAGTGTGACATTTAAAGTAGAGATGCGACGGAGCCATTATTTTGCCGGAGGCCGGAGTGAGTAACTTCGGCTGAGAAGCCGGAGCCGGAGTTACTGCCTCCGGCCGGAGGTGAGAGAATCAACAACAGTCTTCTTCTTCTTCTTCTTCTTCTTCAACATAACCTAATATTTTAAAAGCTTGCCAAGTAAGTAGTTATAACTTTTCTTGTACAATATTTATTAAAAACTAGCCAAAAAGAAAAAATGCCGAAACCAAAACAGACAAGCCCAATATGGAAATATTTTATTATTGACCAAGCAGACGGCAGTAAAGCAAAATGTTTAGTTTGCGACAAAATCATATTCAGAGGTGGTAAGGGAAAAAGTGCCTTCACTTCTGCTTTATTTGGACATTTAAAGTCAGTACACAGTGAGGAACATAAGAAAATGTTGGAAAGTATTATGAAAACCTCCGCAAGCAAGTCTCCGTCAACTTCTCTGCCAAAAGGTGACAAGCAACTCTCCGTTTAAGATTATGTCGAAAGAAAAAAAATGTGGGATATTAACAACAGTAAGTCTGTACAAATTCATTATAAGATTGGTGAGATGATTTGTTTAGATAATCATCCATATTTAATAGTACAAAATGAAGGATTCAAGCGTCTGATGTTACATGCATTTCCATTATATACCATGCCATCAAGAAGTTACTTTACAAATAACATCATTCCGGATATTTACAGTCGTGTTCGTAACAAAATTACTCAATGCATTGAAAAAGCAGAACATATATCATTTACATTTGATATTTGGACGTGCCAGGAAAATAATGAAAGTTTTATAAGTTTGACTGGGCATTGGTTGGACACAAAAACCTTAGTAAAGTTCAATGCTGTTTTAAATTGTGAACATTTCTTAGGCAGCCATACTGGGCTTAATATTAGTGAAAAGTTTGAGAATATGCTAAACCCTTGGAATATTTCCAAATCAAAAATCCATATTTTTATTAGATATGGGGATCCAATATGGTCAAAGGTTGTAATGATCTTGAAATTGATAGTTTGAGCTGTTTCATTCATTCTCTACAACTTGTGATACTAGAGGCGATGAAAGTACAAAAAGCAGTTATGGACACTATTGCTGTTGCAAGAAAAATAGTGGGCCACTTCAGTCATTCCTCAGCTGCTTGTTCAAAACTGAAGCAAATTCAAGATGACTTAAGTATACCAAATAAAAAGCTAATACAAGATGTAACTACCAGGTGGAATTCCACCAATTACATGGTGGAAAGGTTGTATGAAGAAAAAAGGTCCATCTGCATATATGCCAATGAACAAGCTGAAATTCTGAACCTATCAAAAACACAGTGGGATCTTGAAGCTTCATTAATTCAGGTACATTTGATTGTTTTATATTTTTGCTTTTGTTGTTCATGGTTCTTTTGATTCAAAATAAAAGTTATAGTTCTGATTTCACCTTATTTAAAATAAGCTTTTTTATAATTTCAGATTCTTAAGCCATTTGAAGAACTCACCAGACACTTAAGCTTAACACAATCCTATATATCGGAGATAATTCCCTCCGTTGTCATGCTAACAAAATGTTTGAAAAAAGTTGCTCCTTTTGGCTTAGGCACTTTCATGGGAACTCTGATTGCAAAAACAGATAGAAGGTTTTCACAATTGGAAAGAAATACAAAATGCTCCATTGCCACCCTATAAGACCCGAGATACAAAAATATATTTTTTCTTGGAGAAACTAAAGATAGGCAAAATCAGGAACTAGCAAAACAACAATTATTAGTTGAAAGCTTAAAAGTTCAAAATCAAATCGAACACAATGAAGATAATGATGGAAACGTAAGTGATTCCAGTAATACAAGCAGTAAAACTACAAGCAGCAACACTAGCAGCTCTCCCAATAAAAAAAGAAAAAATGTTCAATTTTTGATTCCTATAAGGAAGTAGTTCAGGGTTCAGGTTCGAGCTCTAGTTTACAAGTGCAAGTACTTAAAAAAGACAAAAAATCTGAAACACTAGGAAGCATCTCCCAACAAATCGAGTCATATTTAAGGATGTCCCTAAGGCCTCCGGCAGACCTCCGGTATTTTAAGCCGGAGTCAGTAGCCCCGGTAAAAGAGCCGGAGTTAGCCGGAGTCAGTAGGTAGGCCGAACCTCCGTCGCATCTCAAATTTTGAAGCTTGGATTGGTACTGATCCCTCTTCTTTTATAACCCAAATACTACCTATCGATGATATTGTTGATCGTCTATGCGCTGGCCTTGATGTACTAAAACCACATGCCTATATTGTGGATCAGCAAGCATCTTTTTTTAAATCATTAAAGGAAAATTTAGTTGAAGGAGAAATTATGGTCCAGTGTGATTTTGCTGAGAACTACAGTTTTGTAGTTCAAGATGCTGCCCAATCTTTCCACTGGAACAACAATCAAGCCACCCTTTTAACATGCTTGTTTTACTTTAATAAAGAACGAGAAGTAAAACATGAAAGCATTGTAATAATAACTGACGACCTTAAGCGCGACCTTTTATAAATTTCAAAAAAATTTTACATAAACATTTTAAAAAGAAATGTTTGCCGATCCAAACTTTTTAACGTGACAGACGGAGCATCACAGCATTTCAAAAATCGTTTTAACTTTTTAAATCTATTTTACAAGCAAGATTTTAATAAAGATGCAGAGTTACATTTTCATGCTACTGCGCATGGTAAAGGACCATGTGATGGACTCGGAGGCAATTTAAAGCGTTTGGCATCCAGTGCAAGTCTTCAGTTGCCATCAGAAAAGGCTATCACTATTCCACAGCGTTTATTTAATTGGGCTCAAAAAACTTTAACAGAAACTTCGATTTATTATTGCAGCAAGGAAGAAATCCAACACTCGAAGGCATTCTAGTTAAAAATACAAGTAATAGTTTAAAACATAAGGTAATAAAAATTATAAAATAAATTAACTGAAAGGCCTAAAGAAGATGTTTTATTTACAATGATAATGTCTCATCAATTTATTTAATATTATTTTTTTACTATAAATATTGGTTAATTATTATTTTCAAACAATCAATTTTAAATCATAATAAAAAGCATTGTCAACATAATTATATATAACCACAATGTTAAGAAAATTTGTGGGTTCGTAAGTACCTACTAAATTTATTGTAATGCAATGTTGCATATTTAAATGCCTATATTTTTTGTTTCAGTAAAAAAATGTTAAAAAGGACAATAAAATCAAGTTAAACAATATCGATGTATTTGTGCACAATAATTAAATTTTATTTAACAAGTTTTTCAAAAGCGCGATTGACTAAACAGTGTATCACGCGCTAGGACCTAACGCCGCGGCGCGCCACTAGGTTTGAGGAGGGTTTACTCCAAGTCCTCTAGCATTTAAACGAGTGCTCATCCGATTACAAAATTTTGTATGCCTCATCTATACATTTTGAGAGAATTTTTAAGCAATTAAAAAAAAATTAAAACTTTAATTTTTTAAAACAAAATTTTTAATTTTTAACAAATTGGAATGTTTAATTTGATTGCATAGCGAAAAAGAGCACACAATTACCTACCAATGTGATTTTTTATTTTTTTTCTACGAAGATTCCTTTAAAATACACCATGCACGACGTTTTGACGAAAATGTAAAAGCCCCTAGCAGGGTCCCTAGGCTTCGCAGGGTCAAATAGTTTTATGTCAATTTATTTTTATTATGAACAAATTTAAACAAATTTGCTTTTAAAGTTGCCCGCTTGGCGTGAAATGCCCCTATAAGGAATTTAAAAAAATATATATCCTTAGTAAATATTGGAATTATTATAAGGCCAAGCATATAGTGGTTAGGGCTAGTAAATTGTATACAATGCAGTAATATTTTTTTTAATTTTCAAGGAACAACCGAAGTTAGCGAAAAATTAAATAATATTTTAATATCTTTATCAAAGATAGAAAATAAAATAACTTCTTCAGTAAGTAAATTGATCTTCAAAACAGCATTTAACTATTGATGTTAAGTCAACATTAAATACTGTTTTTTTATCTGTATTAATTTGTTGAATTTAAAATTTTTAGTCACTTAAACCTACTGATCAGATTGATGTACTTGATGAGATTGATGTACTTTTTTTTTAAATGCAATATTAAAATCACGATAGTGATTTATTTAATATTAAAAATGACAAGAAAAATCTTTTAAATACTTCTACTTTAAAGTCTATTTTAGCCTCTAAGGAACGTATTAAAACTAATGGCGTAGTGTAAAATTTAAACTAAATAAGGAAATGCTTGATGCTAAAATATGGCAAAAAACATAAATACATTACTAAATTTTAAACATTGTAAGATTGATATAATTTTTAATATGACAAAGTGTGATATTCTGTGCAAACAAGAATTAATGTTTTTTAATATAAATTATGATAATTTTTAATATGATACATTGTGATATCAGATCCTTCTTTATCTTTCGATATTAGTTATAATCTTTCGTCCCATTTCTCAGAATAAGTCCTAAACATTTGTGCAGAACTAAATATAAAGTTTATTTGCCTATTTGCCCACGTTATGAAACCTCTTGACGTGGCGTTTTACGCCCGGTTAAAAAAGTACTGGAAAGAATCCTTTTGAATTGGAAAAAACCGTAGGAAGGCGCTCAACGACATTAACTAAAGATGCGTTTCCAGGTCTGTTGACGAAGCTTCAAAACGAACTGAATGCTAATGGAAAGGGTTCGCAAAACCTCAATTTCTGGTTTTAATAAAACTGGTCTTTACCTTTTGAATCCAGATAGACCCAAGGCAAGGATACCTTAACAGGTATAAGAAGTCCAGACTCCAGTGTCGGAGTCTGTCATTTCGATCCTTAATAAAATGAGAGGTAATACCGCTGACTTCGCCAACACTTCTAAACCAGCCAGACGCAAGAGGGTCGCCGTAGAGCCGGGAAAAACTATTAAGGCTAAGGATGTCGCTGCACCATTAACTTTGAAGCCAAAGACAAAAATAGCAAAGACACAATTAATCTAAGATTCATCTTCCAGTGAGCATAACGAGAATTACAAGCCTCAACGACCAACATCTTCAAATCCAGAGATAAAAAGGGCAAAGAAAAAGGCACAAATGATTAAATATTTATCTTCCAATGAGTCTGATGAAAATTACGACTCTGTTGTCTTAACCAGTATGACAAGTTGGATAAAGTCTATTTTAACCTACCAGCGAAAATACCTGAAGAGGAAGAACCTGGAGTAAAAGAATCTGAAGCAAAAAAAGGCAAACGTAAAGAAAACTCTGACTTTAATAAAAGTTTCGAACTGACTGGGACTGAACCTCGGTCGTCTGCTTGGGAGGCGGGTGTTTTGTCTTTGAGCTATAGTAAAAAATAAATGACTAGAAGTTACTAGAAGAATGCAAAACAAGTGTACTATTATTGTGTATGGATTGAATGGTAACGGGCAGGAAACTGATAATAAAATAATTGATCTCTTTAATGAAACGCTACATACTCAATGCAAAATAACTAATTTTAGAGATATTTTTCGTATAGGTAAAGTTATTAAGGATACTCCCCGCACTATAGTTGTAGAAACACAAAATAACAAATTAATTTTTATTTTAAAGAATGTCAATTTAAAATATAACCTACTTAATAAAAAAAAATATTACCCCAAAAAAGGGTAATAATTTATTTCTAATACCAGGAAATATTTTTTTTAATCTTGATGAAAAATACAAAATAGAATATGTATTATTATTTGGTGTAAATTAAACTAAATATATTTTCGTAGGAAAATCTTTAGAAAGATAATAAACACCTTGCTAAAGAACACCTTAATTTAAAAATGGAAAATTCCAAAAAGCTAAATTACGAGTTGCAAGAAAATATTATTAAAAAAATGGAACCTGGAACAGCTGCTCCCCCAATTACCAACCCAAATGTGGGTGATATTGTGAATTAAATGGTAAATTTTTTTGTATAATTAATTTTATCTGTTGACATGTAGATATATACCGATTACCTTTTAAATTTTTCTCATAACCCACTTGTAATACAATTCACAAAATGCCTGCTATATGAGCACTTGACGAGTCAGTTTAGAGGAAAATCAATAGCTCCAAGTCACATGACAATGAGGACAACACCTGCACAGAAACCAAATGTTACTTCTGTAGAAGCTTAGAACACAAATCAACCAGTAACATTGCCCAGAATTTAAGCGACAACAACCCAGGTAGCACACTGCCGTCTAAAGACGTCTAAGAGACGTATTTTTTTGGTAAATATTCGTCGGAGACGTAATGCGACTAGTTTAGGACGTTGTGGCGACGTCATGATTTAGAACGTCAGTAGACGTCTATAAATGTACGACTTTTCTACGTAACTTCTTGTCATATAATATACATATGTATTTTGTATGACGAGAAAGTCGTACAATTATAGACGTCTACTGACGTTCTAAATCATGACGTCGCCACAATGTCCTGAACTAGTCGCATTACGTACGTCCCCCTTTTTATTGTAGATTGCAAATAATGATCCATTTTTCATTGTATTTTTTTAAACTAAATATATGAATAAAATTTAAAACAATATAATATAATATATTATATTATATATATATACAGCCTGTTTAGAATAAAACCGAATATATCTATATATATATATATGGGGCGTGGCCTCGCCTCCCTCCAAGGCGCGTCACAGTTGCTTGTATAATAAACGACATGAGAAAGGTCGAGCAGGTAAGGACTTAAAAAATTAAATGATAATAATGCAAAAAATATCATTAGCGATGCAGTCTATTTGCTTAGCTACTGTGTCGCGCGTTGGAGAGAGGCGAGGCCACGCCCCATATATATATAGATATATTCGGTTTTAGTATGAAAGAGCTGTATATAATATATGAATAAAACATTTTTAACTTATTTGTCACCATTAACATTTTCCGTGTAAGAATTTTTAATACTTTGTTATAATATTTTGCAATTATAGTAATAAAAAAAATCAAAGGATAAAATAGTTTCTTAACAAAATCATATTTTGAAGTTATTTTAATATTTTAAAGTTTCAATAATTGTTAAGTTTAATTAAAATTAATAACGGGCAATGTTAATGGTGACAAATACGTTAAAATGTTTTTATGATATTTATCGAAGGCCAGACTGTTGTTTATTTGGCATTGTTTTTACCTTAGTTTTAAGTCGTTGTTCTTGTTTTTTGTGTTTTCTGGTGTAACAGTTTTTCCCTTAATTTGATAGAAGTAGGTACATAATAATTATTGCCAGTTAACAAGGTGAGTTACATTATTCATTTCTATTAAAGTTTTTTTTTTACTTCATCAATGCTGGTCCAAAAAAATTATACCTATGTAAAATCAACGAATTCAAAAAAATTATTAAGAAATGGCAAAATTTAACAAGCAAATTTTTGTTAATTCATTTATTTATTATCATTTAATTTATTTATTAATAAATAAAATCATTGATCAAATTTGATAATTTATTAATTAATTATAATAATTAGGTACCTTAGCATATTTTAAAATTTGCTATAATTTTACTGAAATGATCATAAATGTACCTGCTTATTTTAGGATAAAATTGCGTTTCTTTTAGTGGAATTTTGTGAAGCTGATGGGGGTGGATTGTCCGTTGTCCATAACAATTGGTTGACTCCACGAAAAAACCAAGTATTTTGGCCGCCTTATAAGCAGCAAAGTCAATACAACCGTGCGGTAAAAATCGGAGAAGATGCAAAGCCAGATGAGTGGGAATTATATAAAATAAAACGTTGTTTTTATACTTCCGGTAAGTTTATTAAGTTTTTTAAGATTAGCGATGCTAACATAACACAAAATGGTTTTAGACGACGATTCCGATGATCAGGTTATATATATATACAACATAAGCTCTACATGCAAAAAATTAGAGAGAGAGAGAGAGAGAGAGAGCTGATATAAGCATAACAAAATTCACCGACTTTCATTAAATCTATAACCTATAATCTTACAGTGGAACATGAGGAGTTTTAACTCAAATAAACTTAATTTAATATCACTGATTAAAGAAAATCAACCAAACGTCATTATTCTAAATGAAACCTGGCTCCTTCCAGGATTTTATGTTATAATCCCGTTTTTCACCATCATTAGACAAGATAGGGAGGATGGATACGGAGGTATTGCTATCCTTATACGCAAAAATATTCACTCTAGTGAAATTAAATTAAATAACCTAAATCCTTATAGAAAATTTTAAATTTTACTAGTAAAGGCCATGAAATATTATTCAATTAGGGTTTTTTCTTCGGGGCACGTTTCTTGGAGGGGCAATTTATGTCCATCGCTATTTTGTTGGAGGGTTTTCTTTAAAGTAATAATTATGGAACCTATAAAGGAGTTCTTGATGTAACAGTCATCCTGGAGAAGGTTGTCCTTGAAAACCGTTATATGATAGGTCCCTTGAAGCAATATGATTATGGCTATGTGTCAAGTTATAATAGGGAGGAGCCCGATCAAAGCCCCAGTTTAAGTACACCAGGAGTTTCTATAAACACTGATCAGGATCAACAGGTTTTATTTAATACTATTATTTATTTTTTTACTATATAACTGCAAAATGGTAAATTATGAAACATAACTTTACATTTTTTTGATTGTGTAAACCAATCGCTATTTGGTATAGAATTACAAAGATAGTAAATAAATTAATTTATCAATTTTTGTCATATAAATTTAACTATTAATATAAGTAAGTAATCAAATCACGAGTTTGCACAACTTTAAGTTAATGAACTCTTTAAATTGTGGTGACGCCCGCTTTTAGTGTAAGTATAAGAAATAAACAAATACTGACCCATGCTTCCTGACATTAGAGCTGCCGGCGCATATATCTAACCTTAACTTGGTTATTGTAGCTTGAGTTTATGCTTTTATTATTTCCCGGGCGATTTTGAGTCGCCCTCGGGAACTTACTTACATTTGCTCAGTGATAGATAAATGTTTATACATGTGATATTTTAATTGTGTTTCCACTAAAACGCAAACGTTCAATTTTTATGGCCATAAACACCGTTCTGGTATATTTCATACTAAAGGATGGGGAAAAAGGCATATAAAAGTGCAGGGATCTTCTAAAATTAATGGGTTCTGCCCTGCTGAATTAAAACTAAAAATTCAAAAGGAGAATCACCAGGTTGTTTATTGTAAGACTCATGTGGGACACACTTTGGAAGGGAATTTTTAGTATACCTTAGGCTTTTCTATGTGGATGAAAAAGTTAAGTGCTGGGCTTATTGCTATCGAGTAAACAGTGACCTGGACACAAATATGCATATTGAGCGGGTACATAAAACGCTTAAATATATCTATCTTCATGGAAAAAACTTTAAAAGGCTTGATGAAGCCATTCATGCAATTATGATTCTTGTTAGGGATAAGTTGTTTGAACAGATTATTATTATAAAGAGGGGAAAATTTTCTAACAAAATTTAAGCTTTAATACCATTATTCAAAAAGACAATTCTTGGCAAGTTTTCTCTTCAACATCAAGTCAAATTTATTTGATCCAGGAAGTAAATATAATCTGCACTGATTGTAAGCTAATTTGTCTAGACTGTGATGTTTGTTTTCACCAATACACGTGCACATGTATTGATGCCAGTATAAAATTTAATATGTGTAAGAATATCCGTCTGGTATGCCAGTTTAGAAGAAAGTTTGCCTCTGATCTTACCCCAAATAAGTAAGTAACTTATTTACCATTTAGTAATTTTATTATTGAATTTAAAAATAAGCACAACACTTATAAATTACAGGATACATGACAAGTGGAAACTATGATTGAATAATTCAAATACATGTATTGCAAGTATACTTGCAAAGTATAGTTTATTAAAATGCTCTACTTGTATATTGTAATCAATACATTTGTATATTGTGGTGACTTTTTTCATATTGTATTAATTGCACATATCTATCACTATCACAGTGATAGATATATGATTAATTGTGATGACTTTTCATATTTCACTCTTTAATATCTGTTTTGGGTTTATTTGGTTGAGAAAACGCTATGTCTAGTAGACATTATCTTCACATTTTTAAAAAAAAAATTTTTAATATGTTTTAAAATTTAAATATATAATTTGTATTCTATTTTTCAGGTAGTGAAAGCAATAATAATTCTATAAGCGAGTTAATAATTGACACTAGAATGGAGGAAGAAATAAAAATTGCTGAAGCTATCAGCAAACTAAAAATAAAAGGAGGAAACCTAGTAAATGAGGTTGTTGAGTATTCCAAAAATTTTGTCGGTAATTTAGTTAAGAGCATTAGAACATACAAAGAGTTTGACAATGTTAAAAAATTACTTGCTCTAGTTCAACCAACCCTGGCTGCAATAAAAAATAATTCTATGTTCCCTAAAGAAGACTTTTTAATGCAAAAAAGAAAGGAAATAGACTAAATGAACTTTTATGAATGACTAATTTCCTTTTTATAATAACTGGCGTACTTAAAAAATATATTCCTGTTTCAGTTGTTAGTACTTACACAATTTTATCAAGTGTGTATTATCTTTTGATTTTTTATGTTAAAATGAAATAATGACTTATTGTTTTAATAAATGAAATACTTACTAAACATTTTTGTTTTATTTATCAGTTGTTTGCACTTTTTCCGCAGTTTCAATTGTTTATTATTTTTTCTTGATTAAAAAAATGGTTTTTCAGATTTATTTTCTCCTAAATGTCAAAAATAAAACGTCCAGTTCACTAAATGATTTATTTTTATTAAAATAAAAAATATAACGAGAACTATTTTTGATAGTAAAATATGTATACGTAGAATCTCTTCTCTTAAAATAGATAATCTATAATTTAAATTCCGAATTACAGTTTAAAAATCCCGCGACTTTAGGACACGGCTCCTTTCCGAACTCCCACCAAACCTTATGAAGCCTTCGAAAATGAGCTCCCGCTAGACTCTAATAAACTAACAGCAGCCAGGAGAGCCATGCAACGACACCGCAATGACGATAATCTGGAAGGGTACGCGAGACCGAAACCGCGCAATATGTCTTCAGTGTAAAAGGCTAATCGATGCTGCGAAGCAACGGTCATGGCAGGACTTCGTCCGAAACCATCTCAAGCGTGACCCCTGTAGTGCCGTGTACAAAATATCCCAACCTAGTATTCCCCGTAATTAGCGACTACCTTCATAGGTTATTCCAGGACTGTCTAACGTTTGGATACTTTCCAAGAACATGGAAAGAGGGTCGGCTAATTACTATGCTAAAAAGCCCCGACAAGGATCTAGCGATCCCAAATGACTCTCTTAAGAATATGCAATCTGAGCGCGCTGTAAAGTGACCGAAGCAGAGAGCCCTGATAAATCCAAGCGACCTAGTGTGAATTTAGCTAGTAAGCTCAAGTCTCTTTTGAACTCGCCAACTCTTTGCTTCGGAGCAAAGAAGGCATATTTTTTGTGGCCCAGAGGTTCCGTGACTTAGTCACAACCGAGAGTCGGAAACGACCAGACTATGTCTGGGTTCGGCAAATCTGGGAGACCATCGGCCCCACCTAACATCCAAGGGGCCAAGACAAGGACGCCTAAGGCGGACACTACTTTACCATGCCCGCTGCCTAACAAGCTTCTGGGCTTCCCCCCAACCACCCTAAGGGGGGCGAGGGCTAAACAGGGAGGAGAGCAAACAAGGGACAATCCCGCCAACGGGCCCCAGTGTTCTATTCCTACGGCCGCCTTACAAAAGCAGCATGTCCTGAAGCGCCAGTGTGGCGACAGAAATAAGTGCCTGTATTGCGGACTGATTTTATCGTCCTACAAAGGTGCGAGGGCACACGAACGTAAGTTACACCCGGTAGAGTACGCTGCTAGCATCGAGATCTTGCGGCCCATGCCGGACGCCGAGGTCTTACAGATCTTGGCTGGCATTGAGGCCAAAACCACAACACGTGGTTTCTTGAAGGAGATGTCAGTAGCTACCGGACTCACGGTGGACCAGGTGAAACATAGGAGGCGACGCCCTGACTATGGGAGATACCTCGATGTTGCGAAGCGCAAAATCTCGCACCAACTCGAGGTCGTCAATCCCACTGCGGCCGCCCCTATGGGAAGTAACCTGGAAAGCCGCTTCTCCTCCACCACGGAGGTCGAGACAAGCCGGAAGCGTCGTCGCACTGCCCCGAACATACCCAAGAGAAAGAGGAGTGTCACGGACCTCAGTGATACCGGCGATTCGGGTGATGATGTTCCACAACATCGAACTACCCCCACTATCTGGACCTCCCCGATAGCCGATCCCTCCTGGGAAAATTCCCAAGATACAGCTCCACGGCCTATTGAACTTAACGAACGTTCGAATCTCCCGTCCGGGCCTGTTCACGTGGGTCTACCCGACCTGCGACCGCAAGACATCTCGGTGCTCCGCGAAGACCAACTCCCTCCGGAGTTCGCTGAGTACCTACGGGATGTGCGGTGCACAATTGAACAGCCCGAGGTCAAGAACATCATTGACCTAGCCCTTCTCGGTGCTCACCAAGACCTCACTGCTATCGAGCGTTGGTTGAGCACCTTGAACTCTAAGAGAAGGGCACCTCGATCACAGGGAAAGAATTCGAACGTCGAGCGCAGCTACCAACAGCGCAAAGGCGGCACGGGCCAACGTGCCGCTGATTATAAAAAGGCCCAGGAGTTGTATCGGAAGGATAAGTCGGCATTGGCGGACATAATTCTAAGTGGGAAGAATATGTATGATCCGCCGGACCTCCCTTCACTTGAAGATGTTGAGACGCTCCGGCCAATTACGCTGCTGCCTGAGCTGGGGAAGCTGTAAAGTCTCATTCTCGGCGAGGTTCACAAACCAGTGCCTGATAACCTCTTCGCAAGAGGCTCTTGCTACATCCCTCCCAGTACGGATGTAGGGGAGGGAAATCTACGATACAGATGTTCTTGATCGGCTTAGGGATTCGTCCCACAAGTACGTGGACGCAGTATTTCTGGCTTCCACATAGGTAGCAGAGTCTTTGTTGGGGATTTCCAATACTTAGGGCAAGCTTACGAGCACCTTGGAGAACTGACGCTGGACAGGTGGGTGGACCTCTGGTCTGAATGTCCCAAAGGTCGCATGACATATGAACTGTTGGGACCTTTACGTGATTGGCTACAGCAGGACACAGAAATACTCCTGCTATGATCCAACTATTGGCAATTTTAGACTACACCTGCACCGGATCGGTAAAGCATCCACGCCAGACTGCGAAGTCTGTGACGACCCACCACATAGGCTGTTCGATTGCCCGCTGCATTATGAGACCCGATTGGTAGCAGAGGCCGTGCCTGGAACCGGACTTGCACGAGTGACCTTCCCACAAGTCTTGACAAGGCTTGAAGACGGCCTAAACTCTCTTGTAGCGTATTTATCCCAGTAAACTACTTGGTATCCCAACACAGACACTATGCCACTAGATAGCATCCTAAGCATAGCATAGCGTTTTTATTCAATTTATACAATATATGTTATCTTTACACTTAATGTAGTCCGTGTCTAAATGTGTTGCTCAAACAGAAAGTAAACACAATGTACTTACCGATAGGTCTTAAACCGACCCGTGTTTACAGGCATACATACTTTATGTCCATTTGTTTATTTTATACTATATTATTTTAATAATAAAATATTTGAGAGAATAGCTCCTTAAGAGCAGGGGTGGTAGGAATTAACGGGCATCTCTCTTTATGATACTAACATCCTACAAAGGTACGAGGACACATGAACGTAAGATACACCCGGTTTAATTAAAATTTAACTGTTATTTAGCACCTAATTAAATTTAATCAACACTGATTGAAAAAGAAAATTTGGTTTTTGTTTATTGAATTTTTCATTAAAACACGCTTTTTATACAGTTTATATTGTTCTTATGTAAATAATATTTTATTTTGCGAAACTAAAAGTCCCAATAAAAAAATCTCGATTTTTTTATGAAAAAATCAAATTAGGCAATTTTACTTCCTTGATAACCTAAAAGTTGTGGTTTTACAAAACTTTTTTCTGGCTAAATCTTACCAAGGTTTTTAGCATTCAAAAAAAACCTGATTTAAAAAAATATATCATTCCAGTTGGCTCTTTCATTACACCAAAGCAAACGTTGAGCTCTATGAACTGCGATCAATGGAGTGTAATGTAAACCTGCTTCATTTAATCGATTTAAAACCGCCCGGGCGCGCCCTAGGGATAATACGAACTCTATTGGCAGCGATTATCGTTGGAATTTGGAGCCCAATTTCAGATTTCTGGATGATAACGCTCGCCCGCACAGAGCCAGGGTAGTACAAAAACGGCTAGCATTCCATGAAATAAATCATTTGCCATTACCAACGCTCTCTAAAGATTTAAACTGCATCGAGCATGGTTGGAACATGCTCGGAAGGGCACTAATTGCCCATCAACCTCCTGTTCAGGACGTAAGTTCACTGAGGCAAGTTCTTCCATATTTATGGGATATGGTATACCTTGGATCAAAATGACTTGGATCGTTTAATTTTAAGCATGCCACGCCGAGTTGAAGCAGTAATAGCCAGCAGAGGTGGAATTACATGCTATTAATATTTTTTTTCTTTTTGATAATTATCTGTTTTGTTACATTGTAAGAGAAAAGTTGCCTGTAAATTTTAATTAAAATATTTTTTCAGTTAAACAAATGTGTTTTATTTCTAAAAGAGATGACAGTAAATGTACGTTATACAAATTTTTTTGAAAACTATTTTTTTCTCAGAGAATTCACAATATCCTTAACTTTTTTCGATAAGTTTATTATAGGTTTCCTGTAAAAAGCTAGGTGCGAGTATTTGAATAAAAACACGTTTTCTTTGACAAAATTTACCGTTACTCAGGACATGTAAGAGTTAGACACAAAAATAAAAAAATGTGTTTTTGAGAAATAGTTACTTAATATGTGTATATAATTTGAAAAAACTATTTTTGATAGGTGATGATCTAGCTAACCGCACATTTAATTGTTGTTAAAAGTATAATTTTCGTTGCCGTAAAACATTTTTATAAAGGGTGTCCAATTAAGAGTGCTCTAACTTTAAAATGTAATAAAACCGACTACAATTAAGATATTAGGAAAAAAATATATTTATTTAAAAGAAAATCCTATGGCATTCATTATGAAAAATAACATCTTTCAAATGCCCCCCGCAGCTGCGCTCCACAGCGCGCATTCTGCAGGTCCAATTTTCTATCACTTTTTCGCACATTTCGGGTTCGATTTCATTTATTATACGAGTTATGTTGGCCTTCAGTGCTTCAATTGTTCGTGGCTTATTCACGTACACAAGGGACTTTACGTCCCAAAGGGCCAAGTAGATGTTATATATACTGATTTCTCGAAGTCGTTTGACAAGGTGGATCATAATATCTTGCTAGATAAACTTCACTCT